AAAAAAAAAAAAAAAAAAAAAAAAAGCACCAACCACAAGAGCGCACCCTGCCACAGTCCGCGGTTTCAAAGTGCAAGATTAAAAAAACAAGCAAACAAAAAGCTGTTTCTCAATTGTAGCGCCCTCCCCAACTTCCCTCCTGGAAAAGGAAAAATCAAAACAAAACAAAAACAAACAAACAAAAAAAAAAACACCACACACACACACACAAAACCTGGGGAGTGACTGCAGCTCCCAATTTCAGTCCGCCAAAGTCTCCCGACTCATTGCTATTCTCGGGCTCAGGAAATTGCTTAAACGCGATCTGATTGCCAGCACCGTGCAGGAGAAGTGGGGGGTCCGGGTGTCAGTTTCTTCCCGTGCACGGCTCGCCCTCGCGCGCGCCCGCTCTCTCCCGCTCCCGCCTCCTTCTCTTGCAGCCCGGGCTGGGAGTTGCCGCTCGGTCTGGCTTCCTCTCTCTCTCTTTCTCTCTCTCTCCTTCTCTCCCCTTTAGCATTTATTGCCTTCTTTTTGTCCTTTTCAACTTGGACGGGGCCGGCTTGTGGAGCACGCGTGGATAGGACGCCCTAGTCTGCACCGCCGTATTCCTTCGCTCGCGGGGCAGCTGCGGCGTGGACCCACCGAAAGGGCGCCCCCTCCTTTTTTTTTTTTTTTAATACCCCATTAAGTCTGATTGACAGTTAAAGTTGTTGGGAGGCTTCACTACCTTGCCTCTGAGTGGCTGCGGCGACTTCCCCTCCCCCTGCGCCGTGGCGGGGCACGCGCCTGGGCGCGCACCCGGTCTCGCTGCGACTCGCACCCTCCTGGGACTGGCTTCTCTTTTCTGCAAGCCGGGACTTGCCGCCCTAGTCCCCGAGGGCTCCTAGCTGGAATTCGAACACGCTGGAACCGTCTCAGGCAAGCCAGCTTGCTCCATCAGACATTCCTCCCAGCCCGGGCCAGGTGACCACCCCTGAGCGCGTGCGGGACAAGCCGAGAGGGAACTCGCGCACGTCTTGATGCAACCGGGTCGCCAAGGGTTCACGTCAGGTCACTTGGTCATTCTCCCCCCCCCCACCTCCCCGCCTCCAGGTAGGACCAGGAAGTCAAACTTCATCATTGCCTGGTCCTCTTTTTCCTTCAGAAAAGTGTACATCTGAAGTTGTACCAACGTGGAATCTCCCACGTTGCGGAGGTGGAGGGACCTCTGGGGAGTAGGATTTTGCTTTGAGAGAAAGGGGGGGCAGGGTAAAGGAACCTCTGACCCCAGGTGCCAATAAAATCCCCGTAAGATTAGCTGGGAGCATATTTATTGCTTATCTGGGCTAGAATTACCTTGACTGACAGCAATTTCCTTAATAAGAAAAGCCTGTAAACAACCTGTGCCACTGTTCAGTTCCTGCAGTGCCCCACTCTCTCTGAGTGCCCCCACCCCCCGCTGCCCTGTTGGGCACCCACCTTGTAACCTCTTACCCACCCCTTACAAGAACGTCTCCCTGTTGGGAGGGTGGGTCCCCAGCTATTTAGAGTTGCCTGTTGCGGGAAGTCTAGGAGGTGAGTCATGACAGGCAGGCCCAGTTAAAAGCGCTGATGAGACTTGCCCCCGCCCCTCTGCACATCCTTGGGCGGGAGAAGGAGAGACAGCCAGGGAGCCTGCCCTGTAATCTGGGGCAGCCTTTTCCAGCTCTGGACGTGTTCAGGCTGGGAGTCCTGGGCCTCAGTCCCGAAGATTGATCCAGCAGGCCCTAGATGCAAGAGGCACGAATTGCTTTGAATACTCCCCGCCTGGGTGTGAGCAAGTCCCCTTGAGAAGTGCTGATTTGGGGAGGGGGTGGGGATCACCTCCTTATTTGCCAACTACTGTGGTTCTGGGGACAGATTAGGCCTGAGAACTCCCAGTTTCTGGTGGAGCAAAAGGGATGGAGGGGCTAGGAAGTCACTCTCCTGCGTGGACCGCCTGGTGTTCTGTTCTGACATTCCACCCTCCAGCTGACCTCGCCTTGGGGACGTTGTCATCCCATTTCCCAGGTTACCCAGCCAGGAAGTGCAGGAGGGAGGAATTCAATCCAGACCTAATTTCTCTTCCCACCCCACCCCACCCCACCCCACCCCACCCCACTCTGGCAAGAAGGCAGGAGAGAGGTGGAGGACTGGCTTGGCCAAAGGCTGCAGTGAGCAGACTCCCTATGGGGTCCATTCTCCTTTTAAAAGGCCGGTCGGAAGAACTAGGCATTGCCTTCCTTAGATCCCATCCCTCTGTAGTGACCATTTCTCCCCATCTTCCTACAGGAAAGATATCCCAGCAGCGGAGAGTCCGACTTGGTACCCAGCAGTAGCCAAGGCCTGTCTGTGTAGAAGACTCCAACTAGGGAGACCCCAGCAGGCTGTGTAGCTTCTGTCCTCATCTATTAGCCTTGGAGCCGCCTAGTGGCTAATATGGGACACTACACCTCCAAGCTTCTCCAGTTTTCCAGGGGCTAATACTATTCTTTTTGCTTAGGCCTTTCTCTCCGTAAAAGTTAACACCCCCAAACCTTGAAAAGCTAAGGACTTGTAAAGATCACAGCCTCTTCTATCCCTGTTTCACTAACCCAGAGGTCAGCCAGCCATCCTATCCGGTTCAGATGCCAGACCAGCTGACTGACCAGGAGGGCTTATGCCCATGTTCCATAGGTGTGTGTTTGGGACAGAGGGCAGGTATTAGGTGGAAAGACACTGAGAACCCCGATGGACCGTCACACGTGTCCTGTACACACCCTAATTTCATAAATGGTCGAGGGAAGTGGGTGCCGCGTGCCCTTTCGAAGCAGGAGGAAATTAGGCCAGATATATATAAGTAACTCACGCACGGGGACACAGGATGCTTCCCTGTGGAGTCTGAGCTGGAGTCGCAGGGGGAAGAAAACAAACAAACACACACACACACACACACACACACACGCTGCCAGGCAATTCCAAGAGGGACTGACAGATTCAGAAGCTAGCCCGAGAGAGACAATGACCCTGTTTCTGCTTGGTCCGCTTTCAGGATATGGATTTTGTAGGTCCTAGTGTCCCTGTGAGCCTCGGGCTTCCTCCAGCACCAGAGGAGTTGTAATTGTCTCAGTCCCCCAACCCCCCCAGTTCCCAGGAAGATGGGGTGGAGAGCATTGACTAAAGGTGTACAACTAAGTAGTCTGGCCTGGCTTCAACAAGAAGTTTGCGATGTGGGATACTTTCCCCCTTTCTTTCTCTCTTGGTACCCCTCGTTCTGTTTCCCGAGGCAGGAGGTGCAGAATCTAACTCCAGAAAGAAGTTTGAGATTTCCCGTCCAAGCCTTGGGTGGAGGGCCCCACACTTTTTTTTATTCCCCTCCTGACAACGTGAAAGGAGCCTTTGTGGGCTTGATGGGAGAGGTGAGCGGCTGCCTGCAGAACTAACTTTTCCATGACTCAGCCCTGCTGGGGCTGGGCACAGCTAGGGAGGTGCAAGAAACAACCCCCTTGTAGGGCCAGCTGGAGCCTTGTGGCTGAGCTGCCTTCCAGCTTTCCTGGTTTGTGATTAGAGACAGTGAAGAGAGGTAGCTGGCCTTGGGGTTGGAAGTAGGCTGGCTAGGGACTGGGGAGCTGTTCCAGTGGGAAAGAGCACTTGCTGTGTGTGCTGGCTAGTTTTTATGTCAGCTTGACACAAGCCCGAGTCATTGACAAATTGTCTTTCGAAGATCAGGCTGTAGGCAAGTCTGTAACACACTTCCTTAATTAGTGATTGATGGTGGGAGGGTCCAGCTCAGTGTGGGCGGTGCCATCCCTGGGCTGGTGGTCTGGGATGCTTTAAGAAAGCAGACCGAGCAAGCCTTGGAGAGCAAGCCAATAAGTAGCACCCCTCCAGGGCCTCTGCATCAGCTCCTGCCTCCCGGTTCCTGCCCTGACTTCCTTCAATGATGGTCTGTGATGTGGAAATATAAGTGAAGTAAATCCTTTCCTCCCCGAGGTGCCTTTGATTATGATATTCCATCACAGCCCAAATAAACCCTAAGACACCGTGCAAGCATGAGGACCCGAGTTTGGGTCCCCAGTACCCACATAAGAGATGGTTGTGGTAATGCACTACTATAATCCCAGGGCTGGGGGTGGAAGTGGGCAGGGCAGATCCTTGGGGCTTGTCAGCTAGCCAGACATCCTAGCTGAAAAACAGCAAGCTCCAGGGGTCGGGGAGATACTCCAACAGGAGAAATTTGAAGTCCTTTTCAGGCCGCTGCTGTGTGTGTGTGCACTGACATGCATGCTCCCATTCACATGCGTGTGCCAGCATGAACATTCACAGACAGTAGACTGCCTGAGCTAGTTTTACATGGTCCTGAGGCAGTTAGCGGCTTCTTGGCCGCCGAGCTTAATCTGTTTTCCACACAGTCCCAAGCAATGAAGGCTGAGAGTCTTTCTTTTATAAAGGTTTTCCTTGCCACCATTGCAAATGGGCCTTCAGAGCTAAGAAACAGAGAGGCTTGTCTCAAGCCTTGCTCAGTGCAGGGGTGGCTCCTTGCTGCTTGCAGGACAGCTGAAGCACTGGCTCAGGGACCTTGCAATGTTCCCTACCCTCCTAAGGGACTGACGTTTGTGCAGCGGAATCCTAGAAGCCAATGCTAGTACCCACCACTGAGCCATTCTGCCCCTCCATCCACCTCCAGCTCTTTTAGTTTCTGCTAGAAATGGGAACCAGGGCTCTACCACTGAGCGCCCCTCCCCCCAGCCAGGATGTTTATTAAACACACACACACACACACACAGAGAGAGAGAGAGAGAGAGAGAGAGAGAGAGAGAGAGAGAGGGAGAGAGAGGATACGCATAGACAGACAGACAGATACACACACCCAGATGCATAGAGCTACCCCCTACCCCCTATCCCTGGACAGAACTGGCTGGAGGGTTGAACGAGTAGGGTCTGGAAAAATACCTTTCTAGTGGAGAAAGGGTCATATAAGCTTATGCTAAACTTGGTGTGGTGATACACACCTCTAGCTTAGGGGGCAGAGACAGGAGGATCATGAGTTTGAGGCCGGCTCCAGAGCGAGTTCCAGGCTGAAATGTTTGAGACTCTATCTAAAAGTTTGCATGCTGGAGGGTCTTCCCAATGGGTGGATACTTGGGGACACATGAGCTGTGCAGGGCAACCAGCCTGGGCAGCTTGCCAGGCCAAAGGGAACAGAGGGGGATGCAGACTTTGGATGCGTGGAAGCCTCTGTGGGGAGGGGGCATGTGGGTCCTTTAGTATACAGGGAAAAAGTCTGCAAAGCCCAGACCATTTCAACCACCTATAAAACACCTCCCTTCTAATACAGAACATCTGTCCACAGGGCTCCTTTCTCTGGCCAGGCTTGGTTGCTATGGCTAGAATGACGAGAAGCAGGTTGACTGGCCCCTTTGAGTCCACACAGTACCCCTAACACAGTACCCCTAATCTCCAGTGCCCGGAGCACACAGTACCCCTAATCTCCAGTGCCCGGAGCACACAGTACCCCTAACACAGCACCCCTAATCTCCAGTGCCCAGAGCACACAGGTGTATATTTTTCACGCAGTCACATCTCCCAGCGGATCCTGTGCACAGGCTGAGACTTTCATTTTGTTGCTCAGATCGCTGACTGGCATGGGGAAGGGCTTTGGCCTGTTCTGGGGGA